AGTACAGAATGGAAAGTATAGTTACATTGTATAGCTTTAGTTCAAATTGTACATGTACATGTATGTCATGGTTATATCAATTTGCCTCCTTATAATGAGCGATTTTAATCTTATTCGAACGTTCTCACACACATGTACATAGGATGGCTGGCTATTGAAGTTACAATAAAAAATAGACAGCACATTTGCCGTACATGTATACTCATGTACAGTAGGTACTTATAAAAGAAACTGAATACCTAACATTCATTGAAAGTTACACAACAAAACAAACACATGGACCTTTTCTTTTTCAGTCAACGCACTTAAGAAACAAATAATATCATTACCTACAAGTCGTGTACAAACTATCAAAACTATTTCACCAATTATAAACAAATAGCTTTTTATACTCAATTAATAATCATGATACAAGCCATGGTTTAGTCACAGAGGTGACCTTTGCACTGACTCTGAAATATTGGTAACACAAAGAAATATAGTTAAAGTCACAATCAGAATGAGCAATGAATCGATCTTCCCCCCACTCTTGCAAAACCAATTTTGTGACCCTTTCCTGCAATCCTTAGGAGTTGAGTGGTCATACTTGATAATAAGCTTTAAGTGATTCTTATCTTCAAGTTGGTTTAGTAGCTCTACTGTGACTTCTCCTTCAAATGGCCACCCCAGCTCATCATCATACTCCCCAGGAACAAGAACAGTATAACAAGACATGTGAGTGCCTTTTCCTCTGCCATGACCATTAGCATATACACAGAGCATCATCTTATAGCCACCTGGTAAGGTATAAAATGATGGACTATGCCACACCAGATCATAACATTTATGGATGCATGCATCATTCATTTTGAAGACATGAGAACTTGAACTACCAGCGCATTTCATACCAGCACATTTCATCTGCAGAGTATCAACTCGTTTGATTGCCATTTGTAAGTGCTCTTTTATGGATTCTTCATTATGCTTTTCTTGCTCTTCCCTTTTTTATTAATTTTTTGCATCCTAAATTACTGTACTCACAGTAAACAATAGCTTTAGGACGTTTTTCATGATGTTTGAACCAAAAGCGTTCTTCAATAAATTCACAACCTTCATTGCAGCATTTGACTGGGCAGGAATAACACCTGTCAAGATGAGCACTGCTTGTTATGATGTCATGAGGACCTTCTTTCTTACAATACGGACAACTGACTATACGCTTTGGACAATCTCTGAGGTGAGTTTCCATTTCCCTACAACAAATCTTTTCCCCACATCCCAGAGAGCAGTCGACCATTCGATAAGGACAGCCCATGACATGTGCTTCAATATCACCAAGAGTTCCTTTCCAGTCAAACTCCTCAATAATGCATTGAACTTTAAGGGCCTTTATCTCACGCTCCATCCTTCCATCTTTAAAGTAGCTTCTTGAATCCAGTAGCTTACGACAAGCAGGACAGCTGAATGTTCCATTCATTGAGGATTTCTTCCTGTGCTTATCCAGACAACTCTTACAGTAGATGTTATAGCAGTAGGAGACTTGATGAGGATCACGTGACACTAAAGTACATATGAGACAGATGTAGTTGCCTGGTGGGTCACCATCAACAAAAGTATAATCATATCCACCGTAAGAGCTATCTGGATCTTTAAAACTCTCCACAAATGAGCTCCCAAGATGGTCATTAGCAGCAGCTCTTAAGTTTATTAAATAATTATTATTACTTAATAACCAGTACTCTTTGAATGAAAATAAGGATGCATAATATTAGTATTTAAATGCAAGAATGCTTTCACCTTGTTGACACAGCTGCATTGCTGCAGCTTATTCACTCAATCGTAAGTCTTTCACATGTTTGGACTAAAAGAAAGTGTCCCAAATATATACTGTACTCGTAACGCTCAGGAGGAGTCCAAAAACCAAAAGATATGCACCAAAAGATAAATTTACTTTTACTAAGTCAACACATGCTCCAAGTTCCTAACAGTACATGACTTACTCAAAAGGTATCACGAGTCTGTCTGTTATAAAAGAAGAGCAATCTCATCTCTTTCTTATCAACAGAAGACAACACGCTATTATTACTGTATTAATCATGGTTACCTCTCAATGGCTATGTGTCATAATAGCAGCTATTGCTATGATTAACATTGCAGCTGGAAACTGTCCTGATGACACGCCACCTTCCTCATCTCCTTTCCCTACTCCATTACCTTCTGCTATTCCATTTCCTTCTGCTACTCCATTACCTTCCTCTACTCCATCTCCAACTCCACTGGTTGTACCTACTGAATTCCTTTCCTCTCCAAACACATCAGTCAATGCTCCACCAGGTAAAATAATGGAATAACTATGACTCCTTTAAAATTCTTATTTTATAGTTTGTGTGATGCCGCCAGACTGCAAAGCATGGCAAGAGTTAGGGATCAATCAGAGTGGAGTCTATCCAGTAAAACCAAATGGAGGAGAAGCTTTTCAGGTAATCATGGCTCCTATACAAGTTTGCATTAATTTATTTCTGTATAGGTATACTGTGATATGGAGACTGATGGTGGTGGGTGGACTGTATTTCAGAGGAGAAAAGATGGATCTGTTGCTTTCAATAGGAACTGGGCTGACTATGAGAAAGGTTTCGGTAACCTCACTGGGGAATTCTGGCTAGGACTGAGCAAAATACACCGCATCACTCAAGGAGAGACAAAATACTTTACGAGTGGACATTGGAGATTTTGATGGTCGCATAGGTTATGCTAAGTACTCAATGTTCAAT